TTGCCTCAAATAACATACACCTGTTCTTAGCACTTCAACACTACAGGTTGCACCTCTCTAGTCCGGCATTCTGTGGTCGGAAACTCCGTGGTCGGGCGATTTTAGTTTGTCAATAGGTAGATAGGCAGCTTTTTCTTTTTTTTTCCCTTATCTGAATTATTATTATTACAGGAGTATTAAATTTTTGCCCTCAGGCCCCAATGTGGGTCAGTGACCTATGCCGGGTGGGCTAATCATAAAAAGCGAGGAAGTAGGTTTGTTTACATCCGGCAGTTCGGCTGCTCTCTCTCCCTGCTTGTCTATACAGAGTACAACATTTAACCCTTCAATATATATGAGCAGTAAATAAGTGTTGCTTTCATATTCTTATGTAGAGTAATGACGATATCTTTTTCACGTTTGCGCACATACGAGCAGTCTCACTTTTTTTTTACCATTATCGTTAGCTACTTCTATTGTTCCATTTATTAACATTAAATAACATTACTTAAAACAACCATATTAATTTTACTTCAGCTACAACCAAGGTCTTATTTTCTTCAGTTTTATATGTAGAACCAGTCAGTCACTGGTTTTGTAATCAACAAATGCTGTGTCATTTCCTCGTGTGTTTTAATTTTCTACTTATTATTAATGAATTGTATTGCTCATTTTGCACATAAACATTAATTCAATAAAAAAGACATTCAGTAATAAACAATAATGAATCTTTTGTACATAAGAAAATAGCGCCGTTTACGATTATGCATGTCATCTGCCGCGTTGGCGGGCGTTCAAACCCGTCGAAATTCAAGTTTCCGCCGTCAAAATTTGTATTTATTTGTTTTGTGTGTTCCAATAAAATACATTAAGAATTAAAACTTCGTGAAATTTGAGAAGCTACTATCGACATTTAACCCTTCAGTATGTCTTCAAAGAGACCATGACGCAGAGAAAGTGGTGCTAGTGCTTCCAGGCATAAGCACAAGTCACTATCTATCCAGGAAAAGGGTGAATTTCCATGGTCCGGCACCGGTCAGGTCCCGAGGTTGCCGGACTAGAGGGGTACAACCTGTATTATAACTCGAGTACCCCTGGAAAATTTCCATTTTCAACACTGGGTTACTCAGGCCCATCATAACTTTACATAATAGCATGATACTCAGAGAGGTTATTATCACAGGTGGGACATTTAAATTCACACTCCACCACCTCTACGAAGCATCGTTTAAAGTACCTTTCATGTGCTCCTCTTCACCTTGTTTGCTGTTGAAAAACTTGTTCCATTTCACAGCTTAGTTTGACGATTGAAGAACCACTCCACTGATGGCATCCAGGGCTTCCTTGGGCGAGAGCTGCTCCCACTGACCGCTGGGATATCTCGAGTCAATCACCCTTTGGAGTGCAGGGACGCGGTTCAGGCGAATGTGGAGTGTGGCCACCAGTTGTGACCACCCATTCAACATCACCCACGACTCCATGGACCGCCTCCACGTCCTAAACGCCGCTGCTGGCATTTCTGCCTCACACTTCTCTGGAGCGACTGCTGCTGAGGAATTCATGACAGGCGTAGGGGCATGACCGTGGCTGCCAGTAGCTAGAGATGCCATCTGAGCCATCAATGCACTCATGGTCTGCTGCTGGGTGCGCGTGGTGTTCCCCGCCGGTGTAGAGATGCCCTGGCGTCCCCTTGAGGGCGTCGAGAATCGTGGACGTGTAGGGGCCATGTTGGCGTCCTTGTCAGGGCTGTTATGGCGTGTCTGGCCCTAGCATCCTACTCACTGTGCCATGTGAGAGGTTTGACCAGGTTCTTTGCAGACTTTACTCTTGCAGCGTCAGACAGTCACTTGCAACCCGGAGCTGCCACAGACGAACTCCCGCCTCCACACATGGGAAAACATATCGTACAATGGTACTCCATCTCACAATCTCACAGTAGTTGAATCAATGAAGCTCGAAAATTGCATTTGAAGGCTCTGAATGTCTGTTTTCTTATGAATTTCAAGATCGGTCATGTGTTTTTTTGGATTTGGGAAATATTTAAAAGTGCCATTGTCGACATCACGTTTAAAAATTTTCAGTTTGATTTCAAAGGCTTTTATGTTATCAAACATAACATCAATTTTTTGGCCAGATCCCTGTAATTTGGTGTTCAAGTCATTTAAATGTGTGGAGAAATCTGTAAAAAAAACATCAATCTACAAATCCACACAACGTCAGATATATAATTCTTGACAAGAAAATTTTTCATTCTTCAAAAACAGACGAATTTTATCAAAACACTCAACAAATCTTTTAAGGGCAGTTCGTTTACTACTGTCTTACATATTTCAGCCCCTGTGGTATGTTCAGGTAAAGTTACCAAGTTAACCAGTTCTTCACATATTTCATCGTCCCTACAAAATCGAGCAATAATGGCTAGCCTAGCTGATGAGGTAACATTAGTGCTCTCATCAAGACAAATGGAAAGCAATTTACATGAACCAATATCTTTTGTTAGCTGTTCTACTATGGTTGTGTCCATCTTTAATATTCTATCGTTTACTGTGTTTCTCCTTACTGGCAAATCCTTAATGAGCTGAATCATTTTTTCCTTTTCTGGAAGACTGTTAAAAAGGAAAGGAGCACATTCTAGCCATGATTCTTTAATATACTCCCCATCACTGAGTGGTTTTCCATGTTGAGCAATAATCTTTGAAATCTCAAAATCAGCAGCAAAATTTCATCAAAACATTTGACTGCATCTTTTTTCCTGATTTCTCGAAAGATGTGTTAATTTTGTTATTGCTCACTGTTACCGCCACAGTAGGATAAACTAGAAGAGAGAGGGATAGAGAGAGAGAGAGACAGAGTGAGTGTTTACAACGAACTTTGCTGAGGTGTTAAATGTGAAACAGATGGCCCTCGCCTCGGGGCTGGCAAACTCGCTCCCTGTGAGGTTCAGAAGATAGTCTCTAGCCGTCCAGTGAGCTACAAGGTCAGGGAGCTAATAAGTCCTACATTAGACCCGAAACACTTAAGTTTTTATATGGTTTAACACCCTACTCTACTCAACTATATCATATGTAGTTGTTAATAGTGAAGGAACGTACGAGTGAATTAATTATCTCATATGTAACATATGTAATTTGTACTCTGCAGGTTTTGACCGAATAAAGAACAATCGAGTTCTACGAGCAAGGGTCACATTATCCCACAGTCGCTCATCGGGCAGTTAAAGTCAAAACGTGGGTCCTACAGTCCGCTGATACATTCCACTGAAAACTGGCTAGTGACTTCCCTCCGGCACCCGACACACCCTGCAGCTGGAGAGCGGGGACGCCTTTGTGAATCATCGACTAAAGTGTGATGCCTATAATATAATAATAGTTAACCCCAGCGAAATGGGGGTTGTGGGTTGAGTGTGTGTATAGCACTCGTATGTTGGCGCAGCTGCACAGCAGAAGCAGTGCCTAATAGGTCTTGACCCTGGGGGGAGGGGGTGTGTGTGTGTGTGTGTGTGTGTGTGTGTGTGTGTGTGTGTGTGTGTGTGTGTGTGTGTGTGTGTGTGTGTGTGTGTGTGTGTGTGTGATAATAATAATAATAATAATAATAATAATAATAATAATAATAATAAACGGTATATTAATAAAGTTGCAGCCTGTGGCTGAAAATATACAGACTTACATTTGATTTAGACATAATGATATAATATGCGTTGAATACATTTACAGGGCTGTGTGTGTGTGTGTGTGTGTGTGTGTGTGTGTGTGTGTGTGTCAGAAACACACCTCAACATCAGATACACACATCCCCAACACACACCCTTCTTACTTACTTGCTTAAGGCTGTCTTTCTCAACCAACAACAACTATGCTTCATTATGAAATCGATGATGATGAATGGTGAACTAGGGATGTTGTCGTCGGTGCCACTGGATGTAGCTGTCGAGTCTGATCCTTGACCCGAAACTCTATCGCACATTGGGCAGGACAGCTCCAGGTTGGGTGGGAGGTCTCTGGGAGTGAGGTCTCTGGGAGTGAGATTGCGTCTCCTTTCCCAACGTGCATATCTGAACCTATTATGCTCTTTCTCGATATGTTTGACACCTTGAGTACAGGTGGAGTCCCATAGACTAAGATTGGGTTGGTTGCAATGGTTTCAAAATCATTTGGAGGAATGTTACATTTATTGAGCTGGTCTTTGCACTTCAGGCATTATCCTCCAGGATTGCGGCTTGCTTCGGGCAGCTGCCCGTAGAGGATCTGGTGGGGAGTCTATGCTATGGCATGTGGATGGCGTGTCCTGTCCATTGCATGCTGGTGGTGTTGGCAAGCAGGAAGATGTCAGTATGAGGGACTTTGTCCTGCCAGGTCAGATCAAGAAAGCGCTGCAAACAACGAATATAGAAGACCTCTAGAGATCTGAAGTGCCTTTGGTACATAATCCACACCTCAGACAAATAAGATGGTGGAAATACAGACAGCTTGGTAAACAGATAGTTTGGTTGAAACTTTGAGGCTGTTATTGTCAAACACTCTGGCGCGCAGACGACCAGAGGAAGCAGCTTTAAGATGGATCCAAACCTGGATGTCCTCGTCGATGTTGTGCTTGGGAGAAAAAAACACTACCGAGGTAGGTAAAATGTTCTAGCTGTTTGACAGGTTCTCCATTGACCAGGAATGCAGGTGGTGGGTCTGAGCCTGTGTTGAGCAATTATCACTGTTTTTGGACATAGATTTTTAGTCTGATAGCCTGATATAATGCAGAAACAGCCATGGGCATGTGTTGTAGAGCCTCTGGGGAGTGAGCAACAAATGCACAGTCATCAGCATATTGAAGCTCAAGGAGGTGGGAGTTCGACGTTTTTGTTATTGCAGGAAGGCAGATCTTCTCGCCATCATCGTCGTTCACGGAGTTATGGCTGATCAGTCATTGTGTGAGGTAGAGAATGAAGATGACAAGGGCCCAGAACGAACCTGTTTCACACCGACCTCAACATTAAAGGGTTTGGAATTGGTGCCGCAAGTATGCATGTCCTCATGGAAGCTCTTGAGGGCTTTAAGAAATTTTGGAGGGACACCAAACTTAGAGAGAACACTCCAAAGAAGTTCTCTTTTGACGGTGTCTAAAGCTTTTGTTAAGTAAATGAAAGCTATGTAGAGGTCACAGTTCTGTTCATGGCATTTTTCTTGTAGCTGACCCACGGTAAAAATCATATCATCTGCCGGCATCTTTACGGAAGCCACATTGTGTCTCGGGCAGAGTGGACTCAGCGATGTGTGTTGGGCTAATCTGCAGAGCATAATTCTGACAAGCACTTTACCTGCCACGCCCAAGAAAGATATGCCTCGGCTATTACCTTTTTTTCTTGTAGTTCTGCCATTCTTTGGGGACGCTTTCGGTAGACCAGGTGGAGACGCTGGAGGAGAAGGTAGCCTCCACTATTAAAGATTTCTGAAGGCAGGCTGTCTGGCCCGACACTTTTGTTGTTTTTGAGGCCCTTGACAGCCCGAAGGATCTCGGAGAACTCAGGTGATGCATCGAGTTCTACCACCGAGGGCAGCTCTGGGATGGTATCTAGTATGTTGGGCTCATTAGGGTTCCTTTGGTTGAGAAGACTACCAAAGTATTCTGTTCATTGATCCAGGATTTAATGTTTGTACTTGAGGAGTTCACTGCCGAGTGATCTCCCTGCGCTTCACAGGACCATGAATGGCTTTGATGTCATTGTAAAAGCCCTGAGGATTGTTCTTGTTGGCGAAGCTCTGGATTTCTTGAGCTTTGGCTTGCCACCACTCGTTTTCCATGTTTCTAAGAGACCTCTGTGCTTCGGCCCTGAGTGAACACCAGTTGGTTCTGAGTGCAGCAGATTGTGAGTTTGAGAGTAAAGCATCATAGGTTTCATTCTTGGTAGCAAGAAAATTGTATACAGGGGTGTATAACACATAAAATGGTGACCTGTCTATTTATTCGTCACTTTAAAACTTCATTAGTGTTATTAAATCATTATTCAGGGTCTTCTTTCACCAGCCAGCCGCTGTCACTTGTAAACAAACTTCACGACGCACCCATTGTATTTTCTTTAGCTTTTGCAGATGCCTCGCTTGCTTCAGCAATTGGAGAACTATACCACAATCCTGCAAGGCCTTAACTGTAGTAACAGGATCCATGGAAAACTTCATCTAGACGTTTTGTTGTCATTTTTCGTTGTGTTGGGCAGACATGTCAACAAAACAACCCATTATGACACAAATGTCTCTTAGTTTAGGAGGCCAGCCCGCATTTGCCCAACATGTTCGGAGAAAAAGTGCCCAGTGTGTCACCGCCTTTAGACAACTAATTGGTGAATAAACCAGGGCAAATGGAGACACATTATACACTACAGTCAACCCTCACTTTACGCGGTCCCACATTCCGCGTTTCCACGTTTACGCGGTGCCCTGCCAGAACCCAGGATGCTCACATTCCGCGGTGGATGTACCCCTTTACACGGTGAAGTATAATTTTTTTATTTAGCTCATAAAATTCATACAAATTATCCGGCCAGAATATAATTTACATTGCTGGAATTCTTACAATTTGATGATCATTTTGAATATACAGTTTTACCCCGCTTAACGCGCTTTCACTTAACGCGTTTTATCATATACGCGGTGCCTTGCCAAAGCTGAACTTTCACTTAACGCGGGTTTTTCCACAGCTACGCGGTGAGTGTCCGGCTCGGATGCTATTTTTAGATTTTGACCACGCGCCACGCGCCACCCACCCGCCCTCCTGCCTGCCTGCCTCTCCCTCCTCCTCCCTCCGCTTGGGTAAGCGGCGCGGTAAGGTTGCGCAGTGTGTGTCTTTGTTGGGTTATCACTGACGTCATATGACGTCTCGGACTGTGATTGGCCATGCAGCCCTACCCCCCTCTGCTGCTAGCTGTAATTGGCTTAAAGTATTATGACGTGACTACCCCGGAGAGGGAGGGAGGGAGGAGAGACGACGCTTGACCTAGCCGCGGCAGTTTCATCCCTCAAGGCCACGCCGGGTTAACGCGCATCCATTGTTCCGTAAAATGGCTTCCGCCGGACCACCACCCCCAGAGAGAAACCTTTCCTTACCTGGACCCAGCGGCACTAAACCAAAGAAGACACGACGTTCATTAAGCTACGAGCTGAAGTACCAAATTGTTCAAGATTTGGAGAAAGGAAGACGCCAAGTTGATCTCGCGCGCCAGCATGGCGTCAACGAATCTACGATTCGTACAATAAAGAAGGATGCAGCCAAGATAAAGGAGCACATGAAGATCACAAAGTCTGCAGGTGCTTCATCTATCAGGTATTGCCAGAACAGGGTGCTGGCAAAAGTGGAAACTTTGCTGGTGAGTTATTTGGTGCGTCAGGCGCGACGCAACATGGCGGTGGACACGCGCTCAGTGCAGGAGTACGCACGTGAGCTATACGCAGCAGTGACACGTAAACTGGGAATTGCAGAGCCCAAACCCTTCAATGCTTCCCATGGTTGGCTGCATAGGTTTAAGAGGAGGAACAAGGTCACCAACATCAGCATTGTTGGTGAGGAAGCGAGTGCTGACCGTGCGGCGGCTAGAGATTTTCCTCCGTTTTTACGTGAGATTATGGAGGAAGGACAGTACAGTGACGACCAGGTGTTTAACATGGACGAATCTGGTCTTTTCTGGAAAAAGTTACCTTCCAAGACCTTCGTTGTCCAGTCTGCGAGCAAGGTAAGGGGCCGGAAGATGCAGAAGGAACGCATCACCGTCCTGTTTACCACCAATGCCTCCGGTACCTGTAAACCAAAGTTATCGGTGATTCACAAAGCCCGCAAGCCGCACGCCTACAAGAATATGGACATGAACAAGCTTAATGTCCACTGGCTAACCGCACGTAAGGCGTGGATGTCCTCTTCTCTGTCCCTCTTCTGGTTTGACAACTTTTTTGTTCCTGACGTGCAGAAATTCTGCGAGCAACAGAATGTTCCTTTCAATATTTTGTTGCTCCTTGACAACGCACCTGGACACTCGCCCCTACTTATGGATCGTCACCCCAACGTAAAAGTGGTCTTCCTTCCTCCCAACACTACGTCATTAATCCAGCCCATGGACCAGGAGTTAATCTGCAATGTTAAAGCTGCATACTCGGCAAAGAAATTCAAGCTCCTGAACGACTCTACCAACACCAAGGATGAGTTGCGTAAGCTGGGTGACACCGACAGCGAGAGTAAAAGCGACGAGGACAAGGAACAAGAGGCGGCGACTCAAGAACTTCTCGTCAAACAATTTTGGAAGAAGTTTAACGTCAAACAAGCTGTAGACTTCTTGGTGGAGGCATGGGATCTGCTGTCTATTGCTACGATTCGTCACGCATGGAGACATGTGTTGCATGGCATACCAGGTGAGAGGAGGAGTGAACCTGTGACTGGTCAGGTTCAGACTGTTGCAGTAGCAGTGGACCTTGCCAGAGAAGCTGCGCAGACTGTTACAGCTGAAGGCTTCTCCGAGACCACCAACGAAGACATCATGGAGGTGATCAGAGATCCTGAAGTGACTGCCGACGAGATGTTGGAAGAAGAACCCGCCAGTGAAGAGGAGGAAGAAGGTGCGTCATTCTCCGAAGAACCTAGTTTAAGTCATAGTGATATTAAGTGTGTCATAGAGTTAACAGAAAAAATTAAGTCCATCGTTTCCCGCGACACTGACGATGAACACCATGACGTCTTCCATACCCGACTGGTGCAGGCTATGGAGCCGTACATCACGGTGTATCATGAAAACATCAAAGCCAGCTGTCAGCAAAGCATAACCGAGTTCTTCGCCCGCAACCCACCACAGCCAGCCCAAGCCAGTGATAGTGATAGTGAAGTTGATTTTGAGGGATTTGTCAGGGAAGCCATAACAACTGTAAGTGACAGTGATATTGATTCACCTAGTAATGGTGATTCACCTAGTAATGGTGATTCACCTGAGGGGCAGTAATCTGCCCTCTGCCTCGGAACCAGCCTCCATCCCCGTATGCCGACCCATCTCTTCTACTACCGTGAGTGTTCCTCAAAAATTTTCGTTTTTTAACCTATTCTTTATTTTTCCTATGTTAACCTTTATCTTTCCTAACCTAACCTCTTCTATATTACTTGTTTTTCATGCCACCATAAAGTTAAGATAGAATTTTTACTACAACATAGTTATTTGTCGTCAAAAAGTGGAGTTTGGGGGTCGGGCTGGGTTCTATTGGAATTAATCCCATATGTTCTGTTATTCACTTAACGCGGTTTTCACTTAACGCGGGACCCTCTGGGTTCAATTGACCGCGTTAAGTGGGGTACAACTGTAAACATCATAGATTTTGCATTAGACATACAAATTTTAGATATAATGTTTACTCTTGAGTAAATATGTTATCTTTTGTGCAAAATATATGATATTTATATTCAAAATATTCCTGGTCTTACAAGGAATCCAGCAATGTCAATTATATTATCCTAACTTTAGTCTGATTTATTATTTATTACTAAAAAGGTAAACAGTCTGGTATTCCCACACATTTATCTAGTAGGGACGTTGGTGGGGGGGGAGGGAGGGAGGGACCGGCGACCGACCATCTGTTACCGTGTGAAGAATATTTTTTTTTTTATTAACTGAAGATTTTTATTTTAGCTCATAAAATTCATACAAATTACCCGGCCAGAATATAATTTACATTGCTGGAATTCTTACAATTTGACGATCATTTTGAATATAAACATCATATATTTTGCATTAGACATAAAATTTTTAGATAAAATGTTCACTCTGAGTAAGTATGTTATCTTTTGTGCAAAATATATGACGTTTATATTCAAAATATTCCTGGTCTTACAAGGAATCCAGCAATGTCAATTATATTATCGTAACTTTAATCTGAGGTATTATTTAATACAAAATGTTAAAATTTATTTTTTTCACCCACTCTTTCTCTTGGTGGGGGGTGGGGGGGAGGGTTGGGACTGACCGTGCGGTTGGAAGAGGGGGGGAGGCAAGGTGGGGTACTTTGATTGACAGATAGTGTCGTGAAGAATATTTTTTTTTTATTAACTGAAGATATTTGTTTTAGCTCATAAAATTCATACAAATTACCCGGCCAGAATATAATTTACATTGCTGGAATTCTTACAATTTGGTGATCATTTTGAATATAAACATCATATATTTTGCATTAGACATACAAATTTTAGATAAAATGTTTAATCTGAGTAAATATGTTATCTTTTGTGAAAAATATATGACATTTATATTCAAAATATTCCTGGTCTTACAAGGAATCCAGCAATGTCAATTATATTATCCTAACTTTAGTTTGAGGTATTATTTATTACTATACCTGGTTTTCCCCCCAAAATTTCTCAGAGGGAAGAGCCAGCAGTGTAGTGTGAGAAGAGGGGGAGGGAGTCGTGTCCATTATTTGAATGGACATTAACTTGGCGACTGTATTTCTCTATTTCTCTTAAGTATTAATTGTGTGCATGTACCATCATAAAATTAAGATGTTATTTTTACTAGAACATAGGTATTGTGTTGGAAAAAGTGGAGTTTGGGGGTCAGCTGGTCTCTATTTCATTTAATCCCATATGTTATGTTATTCACTTTACGC